TATTTATTTGCTCTTTTACTAACTTTCTATCTTACTATAAATTACAGTTATCCTCCCTAGTACGTTGTTTCACCTTTTAACTTTGTTTTGATAGATTATTTAGCAGTTTAGTTTCTTTTTTCAGCATTTCAGCAGTTTAGTTTCTTATGAAGGCTTTTATTTCCTTTGTAGCCACGCTTTTTCTTATGGTTTTCTTACTTAGAGATGGTATAAGTAAAGACTGTTTTCCCATACAGTATTAGTGCTTATAAAGATGTCTTGAAGGGCCTTCCCGCGGTGGTGCAACAGGTTGAGCGCAGCGCTGTGAAGCTGTCCATGTTCTCTGCAGTGCGGATTCGATCCTGGCCTACCGGGGAGAATCCCACATGGCGAAGCAGACCTCTCCAGTCTCGCCCGCTGCTCCCCTCAGGAGTGTATTTCGTCAGTTTGCCTTTCTGTTCCCCAATCTGTCTCTGGTGAATCCTCTCACCCTCCAGCGCCTCTAGCTGTACCCCAGCTCTTGTATAAATAAATAAATCTTTTTAAAAAAAGATGTTCTTGAATCTTCCAAAATAAATTATGCATATGTATGTCACTGAAATCTGGAATGTTTATTAATTCTGCATGGTGGTTTTATTACTCTTTGTACTTTTTAGTAACTTTACAGTTAGAATGTTAGTAAAAGAACTGGGTAATAAATAAATATTAAAAAGATTTCCATTTAAAATAAGTTACAAAAGTGGGTATTTTAAAGGCATATGTCTTGATTCTCTGGAAAATTTTGCCTATAGAACCTGGTGGTTTTTGAGAGCCTCAGATTTTATAGCAGTTTTTTTTGCAGTAGATTGGTGTGAGTGATCAAGGGCCCGGGTTTATGTGGCTCTGCCCTCATCCGAGCAGAAGTTCACATAAGCCACAGTTAATGTCCTGAGTGGACAGCCGTGGCCAGCCTCTCAGGAGACCATGTGGCTTTTCGTAAAGGGTGACAGAGGAATTTAAGTACCAAAGAAAAATAAGGATCTGTGTTACCTCCAGGCTTTCTGTAAATCCTTGTATCTGAGGTTTTATGTCTCTTTATTTCTTTCCTTATTAGGTAGCAGATGGGGCAAATGCAATTGTGCTAGGGACATTGGGAGATATTTCCTCACTCTTGCAATTATTGGTGGAAATTGTGCTCTACAGGGTTTTGATCATAAAGGAAACGATCTCTTTTGGACGGTAAGAACAAACACTCTGACACTTAAACATTTTTAATTTAAGATTATTGACTCTAATGAATATAAAAATAAAATAGGACATTTATAATTCTGTATATTTCAAAAAGGATATGAGTACTTTGAATAGCCTGTTGGTAGTTTGTATAATCCTCTCATGTGGTTAATATATTTGCATTAAGTGAAGAAAGATGGCATTATTAATGATTTTTGGTTTTATTTTCAGGTTACTGGAGATAATGTTCAGTCCTTGGCCTTGTGTGACTTTGATGGTGATGGGAAGAAAGAGGTCTGTGGGGGAGGATGTGATTCTCTTGTGTGTTCAGCTGAAAAAATTTTCCCATGATGTTTGAGAGCTAACACTTTGTTAGCATCTCATGGTTAATTTTTTTTTAAAGATTTATTTATTTATGCATACAAGAGCTGGGGTACAGGCCAGGGTGCAGGGGGTGAGAGGATTCACCAGAGACAGAGTGGGGAGCAAGACAGGCAGACTAACTGAAATACACTGCTGAGGGGAGCAGCGGGTAAGACAGAGAGGTCTGCTGCACCATGTGGGTAGCTTCCTTGCTGGGGATTGAACTCATGCTGCAGTGGCTACAGACAGCTTCATAGTGCTGTGCTTAACCCCTTGCGCCACCAGGGAGGCCCTCATGGTTAATTTTGGTGCTCTGTTGCCTAAATAATGAACTAACTGGCCTCATTCATCTTTCCCCTCTTTTTTGAACAAAAAAAAAAAAATCCCTTCTGTTTGTCTAATATAAAGATCTAGGCCTTGATATTTCAGAGGCATGGGGTGGGGACAGAGGCCAGAACAGCTAATGGAACTACAGTCATATTCAAATCGTGGGTTGCTTCAATTCTTTGAACCATATTAATAAGTATTTTTCAATTTTCTTTCAGAATCTAGAAGTTTTAGGGATTGCCTCTTAGCCTTTGAAATTATTATAACAATTTTTTCTAGAAATTAGCTTCTTGAGTAGCCATTGAAGTGCTGCGTGGGATACTAACTTACCCCCTGTTCTCCATGAATACTGAGTTCTTGCCTTTGGATTGGGCTTCCATCTGCAGGAAAAAGGGCACTAAACCAGGAACCTGTTTCAGGTGCTTAATGAAAGAACGAGACCTGGCTGGCTGTGTAGCACACAGGGCAGGGTGAAGTCTGTAACTGCCGTTTGTTCGTCACTGGATGAACCTGTGACCCCCCCATGACAGGGTCCCTCCCTGAGCATCGAGTTACTGGGAGATTGGAGCTCTTGGGTGGCAGTAGCAACATACCAAGTATTATGCAATTTTTATGTTTTATTTGTGGAAATTCTGTTGTGTGCACTGGTTGAACTAAATATGCATGATATCTCCCTCCCACCCCCCATTTAGCTTCTTGTTGGCTCTGAGGATTTTGATATCCGAGTTTTTAAAGAAGATGAGATTGTGGCAGAAATGACAGAATAGAGGTAAGAAGCGCACCACATACTTCTGCTTACTGTGGCAAGAGAGGTCAGCATGTCAGAAGTGCAGCATCAAGTGAGAGTGCTGGACATCTGCTCACAACTCAGGGAGTCAGGAGGCACTGACAGTGGGGAATAGATAGAGCTGTACATCACAGAGGAAGGAAGCCTTTCAACATCCTGTATCGCTTCCTTTTGGCCGGAACCACTCTCTTCTAGGAGACAGCCAAAATGACCCACCCAAAATGAAGGAGGAAGAGAGTCATCCTAGTCCACGAAAGAGAGAAACCATGAACTGATCAAGACCAGGGGTTAGGGAATCTGGAACCAATTGATAAAAATGTGGACTTAATGAAATCTTTATTTCAGGGCCATTTTCCTGTCCTCTCAGTTTTATTTTGCTCTGAACTCAAATGTCTTTTCCTAGCTCAGCAAAATCATAATTATCATCTGGCAGCTGAACAGTACTAAGTATTGCCAAAAGAATGTCTTGAGCTAAATCATTCTGAAATCCTACATACCACTTTGTATTCAGAGTTAATGAAGTGGGTGGTTGTGTCAAAAATGTGTAGGTGTAAAGGAAATTACATAAGTATTCTCTGCTTTATATTTTCCTTAATATCTCCCGTATTAGGGTCAGAATTAGAAAGTAAATCTGCAAGATGATAGATCTCATCATACTTTGATTGTAACTTTAAAGGATAGTTTCGTTCGGTATCTCACATTTTTTTAACTTTTTTAAAATTTGTTTTTGTGTAGAAGAACTGGGTTGTAGGCCAGAGGTATTGGGGGTGGGGGGTTGTGAGAGGATTCACCAGAGACAGAGTGGGGAGTAGAACAGGCACATCTACTGAAATATACTGCTAAGAGGGACAGGGGGCAAGACAGGGGAGGTCTGCTGTGCTATATGTGTATTAGCTCCCTGGCTGGGTATCGA